TATACTTTTTTGAATGTTCCTTTATATTTTGAAATTCTAACCTTATCATCAACTTTATATCTAGCAGGTGAAATTGTTTTTACATCACATAGATCATTATATACTTTACTTTCATTTTCTTTTATACTTGCCTCAACTGGAGTCATCATAATTGAACTATAATATAAATGTTTATAATGTTTTATTAACTTATCTAAAACATCAATGCATGTCCTTGCATTATAAGCAGTAAAATATTTCCACATTTTAGTTTTCAAAGTTCTTTTAAATATTTCAACAATCTGAGCTTTAACATTGCTTTCGGTTTTGTAATCCAATGAACATTTTGTTCATTTCTGAGATTGATTATTAATGAATTCTGTTCCTTTATCAGTTAGATTTCTTTTTGGTTTCCACTCTATAAAAATGGCTTTCAATGCTTTTGTTATTTCTTCTCCCATATTAATTTTGATCGGAACAGCCCAAACATCTTTACTAACAATATCTATAACTGTTACAATAATGTTATTATGTAAGATTTAAATTGTCTCGTATCAACTAAATCTGCTTGCCATTGATTATCAGTTTGTGTTATGAAAATTATTTTTCTTTTAAATTTAAATGTAACTAGTTTGTGTTTAGTATATCCATCCTGTTGATGTAGAAATTATATTATTTCTTTTTGAGATAAACAAGTTTTCTTTTTAATGCTTATTTACAGCTGAAACCTCTTTCTGAATCATAATATATTTCTTTAAAATGTTTGTAAAAAAAATAGTTTTTTTGCACCACAATCTCTACATATTCCTTTAATAATAGGGCTCCAAATTTTTGAAACCTGAATATTAGATGTTTAAGTTTTTGTTTACACTTTAAATAGTAAATAACAGATGAAATACCAAGACTGAATGTTTTCTTAGCTTTAATAATTGGTTTTATAATTTCTCTAGCAACTATTTCACATAAAGTTGGATCTTGAATATCATTCAAATCTTCTATCAATTCTTGACCAGCTATATGTCTATCAGCTGTAGCTTTTGATTTAGTATAAGCAATATCATGTTTCTTACATGCTTTATCCAATCTGTTAATGCCAGGATCAAGTCCAGTTAGGCATTTTTAAGGTTTTAGTAAAGGATCCACAGTAATGAAATCCAGGTAAATGCATTTCAGGGAGATTAAATTTATCTTGCATCCAGCCAACCAGATCACCTCCTCTAATTTATATACATTTAACTTTGCTTGTTTAATGTACTTCTCACTTGGAAAGTATTTTAATGTTTATAAGAAACCTTTCTCCTGTAAATTATTTTATTCTTCAGTAATATTTTTACATTTAAATAAACCTAAAATTTCTTTGTAAACATTATGAGACTTTATATATTCTTCTTTCTTCATGGATTTGTTTATATATTTTCCAATTACTTCAAATGATACCAGCTTCTAAACTTAATGCTGCCAAAAAAAATAGCAAATGTTGCTAAACTGAGGCATTGAATAAAAATTTAAAATTTATCATAACTATATTAATGTCAGAATAGAATTTATAGCTTCTTTGATATACAAATAAATTCTTCTTTAATAATTTTTTATATATTTGTTTAAATTCATTAATACTCTTAGATCAATCAGTTTCTCAAATGATCTGTTATATTTTTCTATCCTGAAATTTGAAAATGATTAAATAATTACAGTTCCTTCTGATGTCAATTGAAGTTTCTTTTGAGTTATACAATAATAAAAAATAACAAGATTTTTGTTCACTAACTCTAAGTTAATTGAGAATAATGTTTCTTTCTTATATTTTTTATATAATTCTATAATACTCTTTTTCTTATTTCAATCTTTGATAAATTGTGAGACATTCTCAATTTATATCATCTTGTAATTTTACATATTTAGGTTCTCCCATATTTTTTGCACATAAGTACAGATTATTATACTTTAAATGATCATAGATTAGGTTTAATAACAAATTTATTTTTCAACAACCAGGTTGACTAACAATTAAAAGTCTACATGGGTGTATAGGTAGCAAAGGATTTTGATTAAAATCCTCTAACTTTTCTGGTTTTGTGTAACCTTTATCATTTATTTAACTATAAGTTGGATACCTTTAACTATAAATAAATGATTAGTGAAAAAAATAAAGAATACATAAAAACTTTAAAACAAAACAAGAAAGAAGAATGAAGCAGAATCTTTAAGGAAAGATAAATAAAACAAGGAGTCAATAACAAAGTTTCATAAATCAATAATTAAAAAATTTGAATCTCAAGCTATTTCTCTAGAAGAAATGAGAAGAGTTATAGAAGATGAAATTCACTATCCAAGAAACTAAGTTAACTATTGAAGAACCTATTGAAGAATCAAAAACAAAATATAGAATTGATTTAAATAAAAGATTAGATGTTTTATTTTTAGAGCGAAAATAACTTATATTACCATTACATCAATTCATAAACCTGATTTAATGATTTTATATTTCTTAATAGTATAAATATATACTATGTTTTTGTTGGTCTTAGAATACTTCTACAAAGGGTGTCTGTGAGTTGTTAGCAATAAATTCAATGATGAATAAATAGCATGCACTTCACTTGTTTTCAAAATAATATATATGTATTCAGAACAAGTTAATGTATGTACAATAAATTCTTCAACATTATAGATATTATGGACATATTATAAATACTACATATGTAGTTCTCTCCTTCTTGTCAAATATCCACTTAGGCCTATTCAATTACTTTAGAATTTCAGTTGACAAGCCAAACTATCTTCTCTATTTCTATCGCACTATTATTTTCTGTGATTCACTTACAATTGTGGCATGAGTTACTGTAATCGTTTGGTCTTCTTTCTTCTGAAGATCCTCTGTTCCTTTTGTCAAAGTGTACCCAGGCTGATTAATTACTTTAGAACCACACTTTGACAGAATAAAATTATTTTTCTTATCTTCTTTTCTACTGTTAGTTTCACTCTAACATATTAAACGTTAGGCCTATCACTTCTACGGTAGTTAACTTCACACCAACTTTATTCTCTTTTGCAATTATCTGTCTAATACTGTCTGTCTGCTGCTTCCCACTCGTCTCACACTATTTATATATTTATTACCTAATCGTCTGTCTACCTTCTATATTCTTGATGTCAGTATATTGCAAGTGATGTTCAATATTCTCAACATCAATGAATTATTAACAAAACTTCCTACAATCATCTGCTTTTAACTCTTATTATAACAAAAACTAAACAATAATAAAACATTCAATCACAAAACTAAATCAATCAATACTATCTGATTGAAACAGTATTTTATATCATGACAATGGTGCTCAAAGAAGATGCTTATTTAATACTTATTGTAGGATTTGCAGAACGAGATAAAATTTTCTTTTAAATTCAAAACTGGTAATAGAGAAATAGGACCATTTCAAATTAAAGAAATACTCATTCATCTAAAATTATTGTTGTTAAAGCTTATAAAAATGAAAAGACTGAGATAATTTCTGATACTTATATTCTATTCATGTCTTCTCTCATATTCATATAAATTTATAAATTATGTAAATGAACTTGAATTATTAGTCAAGGTGTTAAAAAAGGAAAATTATCAGTTGATCCAATATTAGATGATTTTACCCATATATATAAAAAAAGTTAATGCTATTAGTACACATGAATATAATGTTGAAACTTGTTAAGCTGAGCAAGCTAGAAGATGGTAATGAATATGTTGTATTAGAATTAAAAATAATTAAAACCCAATTTGGTGAGAGAATTGCAGCTGTGCTAATGGATCTCAACTGGGACGAATTCCAAGTATTTTTACCTAATAGATTTAATAAAAAGTTCACTAAGAAAGATACTGAGGATACAAACAAACAGAAGCCCCGAATTTTTGTATACCGAGAAATGAAAAATCATGGAAATAATAAAAAAACTCATATCATTGAATTTCGAATTTGAGTCTTCAAAATAAATGATATTATTAACTTTGAAGGTACTGTTGGTTTATAAAACTATTATACTTATATCTAAAGATGATTAAATCTTTGTTTGATTTTAGAATATTGCTTTCTTTACATCACAACACATACATTCAATGTTTGTTATTAAGAAGCATAATTACTACATCGTAGTATGATGTTTGTTATTTGGAGGGAAAGAGTTTTGTTGCCATTTCCAAATGACAAGTTGGGTAGCTTGTCACTTGGGGGGGGGGGGGGTTATGATTCACTCTGTAGAAACATCATGTCACTTGGGGAAAAAATGGTTACGATTTCTTATAGGTGGCATAGAATCCTCATATAGAATGAAAAAACAATTTATATCTAATTCCTAATTTTTTTTAAGGTAATTAAAGTTGGCCAAGTTGATCAAACCCATACAGAGGTAAAATAGACAAAATAATACATAAAACAAAGTTTTTTAAAAAGAGTTTGATAGTTATCTGGATTTTATTAAGAGGTTATAGAGATTTTGCATGTGAAATTTTAAAATTTTCTGATGCATAAAGATATTTTAATCTTAAAATCAAAATTACATTGCATGTTGGATAGTCAGCATTTGAAAAAAAAAATGCATGAGCAACTCATTGATTACAAAATTTGATGTTTCGTGTACAAAAGTCTCAAAATGTTTATTGATAATCTGCAAAATATCATGAAGAGAAGCTTATACTTTAAAAAGTTACAGTATAACTGCTTTATGGTTACTTTGGGGGATATGGTCTGGGTAAAAGGGTTAATGAGCATCTAGATATCTGACAGGATGTTTCTACATACCAGATCACACGCATTCCTCAAACACACAGAATTCAGCAAGCTATTAAATGAAATAGACCTTGAATCACATTTTCTGTGTTCTTAATTTGTTTCTCATCCACTTTACAATTACTTTTGTTGAACAAACATCCCACTGCTTTGTAATCACACATTTTATATAGATGCTATCAATATGTATATTAAATAATTGTCTTTTATGATCTTATGAACTTCTTGCTAAGATAAACTTACCTGTACAACATCTGGAAAAAGTTCACAGAATGTCTGATTCTTCATGTTAAATTCCAAACTCTGCCATGCTAGTTGTTTTTTCTAGAAAATTAAACACAGTAGCATTTATATGATCGACCAAGTTCTGATATACAAATTAAGAACACTTATGGTTCAATAATCTCAACTTGTTAACTGTTATATGTTTCATTACAACTTACAAGAAAATACATATTAGTAGACATAATAACATTTGACTATTTACAGAAATCAAAGAATTAATGTTCTTTACAATTGTGAGTGATTTCTTTTAGCTCAAAGCCACACAACAACTGTCTGAGCTCTGTCCATTCTATGGAATCATACCCAGGTTTTAGTATTAGACGTCTGTAAATTTACCACTGACCCAATCATAGATATCATTTAATTATATTCATTATGAAAGAAAAAACAAATTTTGTATCCAGTTATTTATGGATGTCGCAAACAAAACACATGTAAGTAAGAATATGTACGTGGGGTTATTGTAATTCAAACTCCTAACTATGGATCCCCTTCCAGAAACAACAACCAACTTTGTCACTAACAATCTAAAATGTAAAAGCACTTTTAGGGTTACTAAAGAAGGATTATTTCCTCAGGCACACGTATAGATTTTATGTAATCATTTCAAAGTGTTTATTATTTTATAAAGAGTAAAGCTAGAAGGTATAGCCAGTTGAATAACACTGCTTTCCTGAAATTACTATCAAACACTACTGGACAAGAGGTTGCACTTCAGCAAAAAACAATGACCACTTTAACTCTACTCGCTACCAGACAAGAGGTTGCACTTCAGCAATAAATATTGACCATTTTAACTCTACTTGCTACTGGACAAGAGGTTGCACTTCAGCAAAAAACAATGACCACTTTAACTCTACTCGCTACCAGACAAGAGGTTGCACTTCAGCAATAAATATTGAACATTTTAACTCTACTTGCTACTGGACAAGAGGTTGCACTAGAGTTTAAGATTATTTTTTTTTAAGCATACACTTTTAAAAATGTGCATTTTCAAACTAAATGTCTACTATTTTACTTACCATATAAATTTTGTTTAAATTTCCAATTATTATTTCAGATCAACTAAATTAATATGCAAACAGTAAAGCATCACCTACAGTGTCTGATGCCTAACACTTAAACACTATGTGCATGTGAACTGGTATATGGGATAATGGATATCACTAAAACTAAACAATAAGCTCATGCACTGTTGAACATTTAGAAACAATGAAAGATTTATTCACTTATCAGTCACCTGTTAGAACAATACCGTGTACACTTTTCCAGACATGTTATTAAAGGCAATTCAGTATTGTTTAACATGTTCATAAACCTATTTATAATAATGTTGGAGTCTAAAGCTTTGTATCTATAACAAAGCAGTTACTTAAATACTTTATAACCAACCAAGAGAAAAATAATCACAAATCATTTTATTTACTAGGTAAACACATAATTATTCAAATTAATTTGAATAATTAATATTCAATTAATATATAGTATTTTTTGATATTCTTCAAGTAGCCTAAATTTAAAGTCAAATAATGTAAAACTTAGAATAACTTCAGTTTATTTTGTAAAACAAAACTTTTAATAATTAGAATGTTATTTTACAAAGTTTGCAAAACAATTAGGGAATAGATAACAATTAAACTAGAAAGTCTATTCAGATAATACAGTATTATTGTGTTAACAAGTAACAACAGTGTGTAAATTCTCCATGCCACTTTAATGTTTTATTTCTATGATGTTGGTATGATACACATTAATTTTTAAAAGTTAAGTGTGAAATACTGTAATCATATGTTTAGTTTCTTCTCCAGAAAAGACAAGAAACTTTTAGCACGGTAATATTTTAAGTTAATAATCAATGCCAACCACATAGTCCTAAGATTGCCTAAGTAAATCAAAAAAAGTTAAATAAAGGTAATATATTTTGAAATGTTTTGATTATTTTAATTTACCTTACAAAGCTTGAAACTCAATGGGGAATTAGTAATCAAAAAAAATAGTCTAATTAGTTTCTTGTGGTGACAACACTGTTTAAATTCTAAAGTTGGGGTGTGTGACCTAATGAAAGGTTGTTTCATTCCTTATTACCAAACACCTACAGCTTTTGGATATACACAACTGGAAATTATTAAGAAGTAGCTTGGAGTAGTGGAACATTTTTCATGTTAAATTATATAAAAAAAAATTTGGTAATTCCAACTGCAATGCTATTATTTCTTTTGTATTTTATTAAAATTTCTTGTATATACAGAATTCTGCATAAACATGACTTATGAAGAATACATGAGCATTTTGTTGTGACAGTTTACAGAATTGGCAATATCTCAGTCTTCCAGACCATGGTCTATCTGTAAATACTGAATATTGATTTATTGCAGCTAGTCCAGGTGGATTTGCTGGAGAGAAGAAAATTATCGAACAAACAACTTGTCATGAAGCTGCTGAGAAAATACAAGTTTTTCTGTCCAGTAATAAATAGGCAGCTAAATAAAATGAAGAGAATCAATGCTATCACTATTAGTCCTAAGTAGAAATTCATGTTACAAGAAGACGAATGTAAAGTTACAGCTTTAAACATCCTTCAAAATGTTTCAAACAGCTGAAAAGTGATTGCAAAACACTTTTTTGAAACTTGAACTATGGAAATATTTGCATTGTCAGTTTATTCCAATATAAAAATATTTTTTGCATGTGAGACACACACACACACACACACGGAATGAAATAAAAACAGCATGAAAAAAGAATGCCTGTAATGGACCTGGCACACACACACTGAATAAAGTAAAAAAAACAGCATGAAAAATAATGTCTAAGATATCTGCCACACCCATACTGAATAAAGTAGAAAACACCATGAAAAAATAATGTCTAAGATGTCTGCCACACACTGAATAAAGTAAAAACAGCATGAAAAATAATGTCTAAGATATCTGCCACACACATACTGAATAAAGTAAAAACACCATGAAAAAATAATGTCTAAGATACCTGCCAGACACACTGAATGAAATAAAAAGAACAGCATGAAGAAAATATGCCTTTAACTCTTTAAATATGGGCTCAGTCCCTGGAACCGACCTCATAACCATTTTGTGCTTGTTACAGTTTTCATGCTATAACTATTAAATTAGTAGGCATACGTTAAAGAAAATTTGGCAGATTATCAGTAAACATTACAATAATGGTTGGAGACGGCTTGAATGGGTAATGAAGAAAAACTTTAATACAAGTTTAACATAACAGCAAATGTACAACATTTCGACAAGGTTTTGTCATCATCAGGTACAAGTAGTTTACACTGACACAGATATATATATATATACAGTATTGAACAAAGAAGTCACATGACCGGAAATGTTG